GGCGGGGGGGGGGGGGGGGGAATAAACGGGGGAAGAGTGGCTAAAGCATGGGACCCATCTCAGCCCCTCGCCAGAGGAACGGCACTAAGGCTGAACCTTGTAGAAGTCATATGAAAAGAACCAAAGCACAAAGTTCTCTTCTAACAAAAAGTCAGAACAAAAGTGTTTGGATAGGATTTCTGGAAGAAAGAGCCAGAGGTGTTTGTGAATAAGCACAAGAATAGGCACTTCCAGTGACCGCAGAACTATAAACAAAAGCACTTTTGTGCACTCACAGATTACTTGCTCTTATTTTCTCTTACAGTCACATGCTTATATCGGCCCGTACTGTTTGAAAACATGATTCATTAAGACGCCTTAAATTGCAACCAAGTATTGTACTATTAATACTGACTTTGTTTTAACTTTCCTGTTACTTAGTATAATTTGTTTCATAGCTGTATCTTTTACATGACCCATTTCCCCACTGAATCCTTTAGAAGTTTCTGTTGATATGTGCACTATATTCCCAAAGTGTTTCAGATTTATGGGCTTGCCCCTTCCCCCTCACATCATTGTTTCATTGGTTCAGGGACATCCCCTTCTTTTCAGCAGATTGAAACATCCAGTAATCTGAAACAGATTTGGTGACCCTATAGCATTAAATCATGCTTTGTGGTGCTTTATTCCTGCTCCAAAAGACTTTATGCATTAGTGGGTACATAAAATTGCACCAGAGACTGAATACATATTGAAAAGTAATAAATGATTCCATATGGTCTTAATTTTTCAAAGCAGTGCACCACTGTTTTAAAGCAATAGCATTTAATTTTCCAATTAGGAAGATTTTTAAATAGCCCTTCTAACCCACAGATATGGGAACACTCTCACTTCAGATATTCTTCCCAGCTGAGAGATTTGGGTGCACCAACAATTTTCACAGTCAAACAGTGTCCTTGGTTAGCTAGCAAGGGTACAATTAGCCAAGGCAGTTAATTTCTTCCTTTTATTCAAAAAAGCTTGTGTCATCATTACTGTGAAGACACAGGTCACAAAGCCTCTGTGAGCAAACTGAATAGCATACGTTCCTCTTTAAGCTTCACGTACTTGAACATCTGTCAGACCTCAGCTACGATTCCTCCCCAGTTTGCCCTGTTTACTTCCAAGGAAAAAAAAATCCATTTTGATAAAACAAAGCTTATAATACCTCTACCTAGATATATTTCAAGCTTAACATGCATATTATGAAGAGTAGCTACTGTATTTAGAAACAGCAGACTCCTCGGCAGATCGGTTCTCAGCGTGTATTCAATCACGTGTGCTCACTTAAATGGTACCCCCAAAAAAATAATTAAAAAAATAAAATCAGGCCTCACTCTCTCTGTCCTTGGCTCCCCACAGGTAAAACAGCAGCAAACGACTAGAGATGCAACACCTTTAACACAGCCCTTCGCCAGACTGCAGGGAATGATTTTGCAAGGCAGACGAGAATGTGTGCGAATGGAAGAATTCAACTTTTGAGATTCCAGGAGGAGTTTGCAGGGCAGTTAACTATAACTGCATGTCCTGGGCACGTTTAAGTGACATTCACATGAGCTGCAAGGAATGTAAGGCCTTTAATACCAGAAGGAGGACTGGGGCAGAACTGGGGCGCTAAGTTCAGAACTGCCCTCCCAAAAGCCTGTGCTCAACCGATGCCTAATGCTGGAGGCTCCGGAGTCCTATTTTTAGGCTGTCAGCATCCCAAGATACAGGACATTCTGCTTTTGGCACACCCAGAACCACCCCACGTTGGGCAGCTCCGTGCCTCTCGTGTCTCCCTGGGCCCAGCGCTGGAATTCGGAGCTCAGACACGTCCCTGTGCAAGGCGAGACCCCTGGCCCCGGCCGCGCAGCCTGCTCAAAGCACATCCACCACATACCAGCGGCCTCCAGCTCCTCACAGCACGCTGCTCTGATCACTCTTCCAAGACAGGGACAGCAGGTAGGAGATGCCCGTCACTATCCCATGGCTCACTGCAGCGTGTCCCTGGCACTTGGGAAACGTGACCCCCCGTCCCATTCCTCCAACTTGATGCAGCTCCTGAGTCAGCAGCTACCCAGTTCCTCCCGGGTAGGGGGAACAGAGGGAACCAGCTGCAAATGCTTATCATCAACTTCCCCACCATGTGCTGAGCCACTGACTGCTTTTGCTTAACACTTCACCAGCCCCTTTGAACCCTTTCTCAACTCCCCAGGGAGGGCATTTCCCCCCCTTCCTTCCCCCTGGCATGCCTTGCAGTGTCCCCCATGACAGGAGACCCAAGGTCAACTTCTCATCCACTTATGTCCTATGGGGTTCAGGTGCCTCCCTCTGACCTTCCTAAAGAGTATTTTACCTACCACCAGGAAGGAGGGAGGCCAGCCTAACACACACTCTCCGTTTTCAACCAGCCTGTTGAACCCGTACTGCTGCCTGGGGGAGAGGGTGGGGATTTGGGATTCACGGGAGCAATCAAGAAGAGGCCATGACCTAGCAATAATAACATTGCCACGGGGAAGGGAGGGGAACAGCCTTGGCTTTCAGTCCCCTTTTCCAAGCCTGCTCTATGTACTTTACATTGAACATTTTGTCAGAGGACAAAACACAAAGTTCTGGGAAAAGGACCAGGAGCCACATCTCCAGCTCCTAAGCAAAGTGCTCTGATCACTGCGGATATAGAACGACAGAGGGAGGGAGGTGCTTGGACTTCTTCCTCCAGGGGCCACATACAGGAGAAGATAATTAATTCTTTGAAGGAACTGAAACAGGCCGTACGTAGGCACCTGCTCTCAGGAGGTGAGGCCAGGCTGACGGCTTCAGCAGAGGGAAAGCCCTTTCCTGCAGCCGCCCGCTCTCTTCACCTGATCCCCGGTGACAGCCCCTCCTGCACCTCCCTGCCTCGCCTGTGCAGGCAGAGGGAAGCAGGACTGTGAAATGCAGTTATTTTAAGGCCGTGCTGTTCAGGCAGGGCTGTAAGGAAGCAGGGACCGAGGGGACACCTCCGCACGGTGCCACGTAGTCGGGGCGGCCACCTCGGGGACATGTTTTTGTCCCAGCGCAGACGAGGAGCAGCAACGCCACAGTTTCAGAGGCGCAGCTTTCAGGGCTCCCCCATCTGCGCCCCTTCTCCGGGCACTGACACACCGCGTCCCGCTGCCGGACGGGTTCCCGGTCCCTCTCCCTCACGCAGGGCGGCGATCCCCCCGGAGAGGGGGGCTTTGACTGCGCTTTGGGACAAGGGGAACCGGGAGACCCAGGGACCCCGTGCCTGACCCTGGGTGCCGCCGTGGCTCCTGGCTGATGGCGATTTTTAGTGCGAGCGTCACGGTACCTTCAGGAAAGGCTTTTTTTTCCTCCCAGCGCCGCTGCAGGCGGTGCCCGCAGCCCTCCCGGGCTGGGCGAAGGGCCGGCTTCGTGCGACGGGGCCCGGGCAGGCCTTGCAGGGGACCTTACCCGCCCCCCCCCCACCAGCCAGCCCTCACCTTCCCGCCAGCCCAGGGCCTGGCGACCGACGCTCGACCCGGGGCCAGGCCGGCAGCCAGGCGCGCAGCTGGTCCGGCGCCCGGCCAGGGCACCCGGCTCGCCGCCCACCGGGACCGGGACCGGGACCGGGACCGGGACCGGGACCGGGACCGGGACCGGGACCGGGACCGGGACCGGGACCGGGACCTCCTCTCCCCCCTCCCGTCTCGCGCCCCCCTCCCCGCGCCGCATTTTACTCGATTGTTTATTATTTTCCAGGGGGCGGTGGCGGGGCGGAGGCGCCGACCAATAAGAAGCGTCGCTGCCCTGACGGGCGACAAGTGCCGG